CATGATTTTACCAGCATGGAAGAGTACTGCACTTACTTTTCTCTCTGGTTCATTTTTTTCCCCTGAAATTTATCCTTGAAAGATTTTTATTTTAAAGTATACCTTTCATTTGAAATGGTAACTGGTTTTCCTTCCCTCTCCATTGAAAGGTTATTCTCCTTCTAGAAGAAAAATTGAAGGTTTTCTTGATTCTGCATATTCAATTCTTCTGAAAATCCCAAAGAGACTAGATTTTCCTCCTGATAAAATTCCTCACAGTAGAATACTTTAAAATTTTGAGCATCATTTGATAGAATTGGAATTTAGCAGGATATCTGCACTCCCCAGAAAGTCTGAAGATTTCAGATATCTAAATCCACCCTGTGGTACAATATACAGTCAACCCCCATCTAACGGACTTGATTTGTGCAAGGGACAAGTCTTGCAGAGCTGGTCTGTTCAGCAAAAATCCCTTACACGGGAGGTCTGTTAGGTGGGGGGCCACTGTACTGTACTCATCATTTAACAAACAGATTTTCCTTTCTGGCTTAACCTTGTCATTTACAACGTATGTTCTGCAAGTAAAAATCATGTGAACCTTCTGATCTTCAGCTAAAATGAGTTTTCTTGTTCTGTGAAGCTTACTTCTGATAAATTAGGTCAAAAACTCATCCCTCATACAAAAAAAAAAAACAATATGTTTCCATTCTAACAAGTCTTATATTAGCACTTCCAAGATATTCCACACATGAATTGTGACTTGAAAAAAAATATACATACAGCATATATATTTGACCAAATGTTGTGAATTCTTGGACAGGTTTACTTTTCTAACTGAATTGTTCACAAGCAGAAAAAAAGTATTTACTAACTTTGATTTTGTGGATGACCAAAATCTGCTCTTCCTATGAAAGCCACAAATTCTAATTTTTCAAAACATGTCCAACTGGACCCTTTCACTTTGTGGATGTAATTTTTAAAATTTTCAACACACTTTTATCTTTTTATAAACTGGGTCATAGCCTTTCCGATTGTTGAAGACACAAGAAAACACCTTTACAACAAATATGTTATCTCTCAGCACTTCAAGTAAAATATGACCATGGTGAAATTTATCGCTTCTGTGATATCTTGGAAGAATTTCTCACGAATTTCCACTGATAACCAATGTAAATTTGTACAACTGTGTTCAAATTGCCCAATAAACTGGAGACAAACGCAAATGAAAATAGCGTCTCAAATATAATCTTTTTTTTTCGAATAAACCTGAATATAATTGTGGTGGAGAAAATGCTGCATGATTCAGAAGACTTGATAATGAGCCATGTCTTTTATTCAGAGTTTGACTCTTACTTTGAAATCAATTCATTTTGGGGCTTGAATAATTGGTGCAAGATGATTCTTACCCCCTTTGAAGAATTTTTTTCTATTGTAATAGATCACTTGGTTTAAGGCAGTCCTTCTTAAGTATGCAAAATTCAAATACTCCTCCATATTCAGCAGGATTAGCACAAAAATCATCAAAAGCACAACAAACTTACCAATTCAAGAGATTTTAGGGAATTCTTCAGCTATTTAGAATTCTGTTGGTACCAAGACTGTTTTAAAAGGCAGCTAGTTTTTCAATGATGTAGTATGTCAATGATTCTAGTGTCATCAAGTTCCATCTTGATTTTGTGGGGATATCTTTGACAAAATAACTTCACTTCACAAGTGTCAAACCCACCTCCATCACCAACAGTCCATGTAAACAAAATGTATGCCAGAACAAATTGTAATTGTTAGCCAAGACCCCAATTTGTATTTTTTAAAAACAACTGACTTTACAGCAGGAAATCTTTTCTGGGAAGATTCATAATTAAAATCTATGAGTATCATGATAAAATATATACTGTACAGTATATATTTTTGGGTTTTGAGGTGTTTTTCTAGATTTTTATAATACTTTTATGAATAGGACAATCCAGAAATTATGAGATGTAGTCCAAAGTTTCCCTTAAAGGGGCTGTGAAAAAGTAAATTTCAGGATGGCCAGAATTTTTCCTGGAAATATAAGAAAGGAAAATCCCTTATGAATTGCTTCCCAAAAAATAACTCCAACATTCACTGTTTTTTCAGGCTTCCAGCATCAAGAAAACTCAAATTGGTTCCCAGAAAAAGAGATTCATGTTTCAGTCCAACCTGTGGAGACAGAAAGAATCCAAAGACCAAAGAGAAACGAGGAAACTTGGCTCATCTTGCGCCATCAAAAACCTTAGGAAATCCCCAGAGCAATCAAACACAGATCCATCTTTTTCTTCCCCATCACTGATTATACACCCACTGACGCGGAACAACTGGGCGAAACTTATGCGAAGTGCTGCTTTCTGCCCGACCTCTTTGGCGCGGCACTCCGAATTAGATGCTTCCATTGAGCAAAAGCGGCTACATTTCCATTTCCTCTGCTTGAAATCCGTTGGTGACACTGACTTTTTTTTTTTTACCAGTTGTTCCCTAAGAAACTCATCTAAATATTGTATCAACTCTCAATTAACTCAACAGCCTGAAAGATGAACAAAATATTCCATTGTGGCAAGTTATGAACTCAGTGGTTCACTCTCATTTTTCAACTCTCTTCCTTCTCTCCATGTCAAACCAAGTGTCGACTGTAACACTTTTGTAAGGAAATGATCAAATATTGCTTTGGGAATATTGTGATCATCTGCCAAGACATATTGAAGAAAGGGAGGCATCATGTGGTTCCTTTATTAAAATCCTCATTCTTGTTATTTTGTTGTCTAGGCTGAAGGTAATCTTCTCAGTAAGCCATCAGACTTTCTTCTTCCTTTCCTGGCATTTGCTCTCTCTTGAATTGTCTTCAAGGCTGCACTGGCCTGAATTCTTTTTATTTTTTTTCAGGGGGTAATTTCCTAATTACCTTTTTTTTTAAATCATGGCTTTTGATTATTTGATGAATTCCATCTTTCTGGAGGTAAAATAAGCAACCTGCTGGTGTAAAGATAATGTACTCTCTTTCCATCACATCAATGAGATAACACCTTTCCCAAATGCAACACAACAGAAAATGATAAAAAATTTATTTTTCAAAATAATGTCAATCAGTATATTCTCATTTCTTAAAAAAATTTATTTTACAGAACATACAAGAAAATGTCAGGTACCCATCATCAATGGATGATGCAAATTGGAAGTGCCCCTTTCATTTTTCCCTTCCAATGATCTCTGCGTCCACACTTCAATAAAAGACGTCAAAAAATAATTATAAAAGGCAATGGGAAGGGCGTAGAGATCAGCATACAATACAAAAAAAATTATAACTAAAAAGGAAAATAATGATAAATTACCGTACTTTCCATGTACACAGAAACGAGCGGACTGACGGACAGAGGAGACAACGACTTGTAACGGAAAACAGCATCACAGACCCGGTGGCGCCGCGAATACGGGTATTTCGCAACATTCCTATACCCTCAGGGCTTTTCTGAAGAACAAAGAACTTGAAGTACAGTACTGAGTCTGTCATTCATTATACAAGATCCACGAAAAAAAAGACCCTGTAAAAAAAATCAAAGGATAATAAGAAAAGTTATGCGGTGATCACAGGTGAAAATTTATAAATCATGAGAAAAGTACACCAGCAAAAAATCTGCACCAAACTCACTGATTTTTTTTTTGTTCAGTCCTGTACAAAGCAGAGAAAAGAGATTTTCTGCATCAAATAAAATTGAGATACTTTTTTCGATTTATTTTCAAATCCATACCTGCTGTTAAAGTGAAAATTAAATATTTTAGAAAACGGAGTTGAGTGGGAATATGGCACACACATTTTCAAAATATATAAAATAAGTTGAAAACTGTATAAAAAGAGTTGCACATTCATTAATTTCATCAGCAGGGCTCTTTTGTCTGCAGTTGTGATGAGAAGGTTTCACTTATTTATGATATATTTTTTCAGAAAGGTTATTATACAAAATAATAGAATAAATTATATCAGGCTTTACCTTCAATGCTGTGGTTTATGCAATAGATTGCAGTTTCTTCAGCAAAAGACTTTGATGCATGTACATTGCTTGGATGCTGATAAATTCAGAAATTTCACTTTTCCAACTCCACACAGCACAACTATATTTTCCACTAAAAAATTTCCAAAAATGCTGCAGCAAAATATGGAAAAAAAACTGCGCCAAACTTGAAAAATCCTTCTAAAATATAAAATATAGAAATTCAGTAGAATATCTAGTCATGAAAATCAATTCTAAAAAATGTGCAGTTTTTATTATATTCAAGAAATTCAGAAATGCATCGCATGAATATTCAGCTTACTTACCCATCAAAAGGTAGAAAAAATTGTTGAAAAGCTGCTGATGACTTAATTCTTATGAGACCTTCATAAATTAAATCTATAATTTCAAAATCCGCACCCGAAGAATTAAAATTCCAGAAAACAGTGCATCTCATATATGTTCGATTTACACAGTAGCAGACCTTGGTTAAACTTCCAGTAATAGTGAGAAACTCGCGCAATTCTGCTGTGGCCTACTTATTATGGAAACCCCCAAGCAATGAAGTGAACTCACACTCATTTACTGCAAAACCAATTCGACTTGGGCAGGACAGAATAGGACCAGTTTTCTGATAATTTTCGCTTTGACCTAAATTCTGCTCGAGTTGCTGGGAGGTGAAACAACAACAACAATACTCGAACAGGTCATATCCGGCAATAATATTACATGCCCGAAGCACCGCGAATGAACTTACTTTCACTGTTTGGACTAGATGAAGTGAACATTCGAGATGACTTCGAAGAGGATGTCGAGGGTCCTTGAAATATTGTACCCGTAGTAGCGTCAGCAATCCCTCGGGCATTGACGAGAAGATAGCGACACCTAGCAGACAAAATTATAACATTTGCAACTCTCGCTGCTACTCCATGTGATATGATGTCACTTTTGGAAGGAGAATGTAAATCGCTTCGCCGTCAAGTTCTAATAGTATGGTGTTCAGGAAGACGAAACACGAAATTTCTCATCCAGCAAACAAAAAATCTTCATTCCTAGATTCAACGGCGCAAGTCAGGAGAAAAAAAAATTCGGATACCACCAAAAGAAGAAGACATTCAGAAAATTCAAAAATTCAGAATATGCAGAAAATCACTGCCGGTTGGAGTTGGCGTCTGCGTCTTGCAGCATGAAGTTGGTGGCCATCTCGATATCGTTGTTCGCCCTCTGCAAAGCTCTCACAGCTCGTTCTCGACTGAATCCCATGTCAACCAAGGATGCAACCAGTGTTTCGTCGGCTACAACTTGCTCTGATGGAACACAAACCATGAAAAATACACAACACTGAATGAATGAAGTTGAACCTTGAGAACTCAATACAGTATATAATACTTATGAAAATGTAGAATTTTTTCTGAGCCCCTGTCTTAATTCCCTTAAAGACAATGCATTTTAAGACCTCAATAACTCGAATTTTCCGGAGGCATTTCGGCTATTATTTGATTGACACAGGCAAGAGAAAAACAATAAAAATGCAACTTAATGTGTTCTGAAAGTGAGTGAGAGACTATTTCGGCAAAGGAACCTTCGTCTCCACATTCAGCTCTTGTCAACTGATTTTCGCTATGACACAGAATATAAAAATGTCCTGCATTTATTGTTCATTCCCCCCCCCCCCTCCCAACAAAAATGCTCGTTTACCAAAATCAAAACCTCCCCAATTCAAATCTTTCTGCTAATTCCTTGGAATTCAACTCACAGGGAATCCAGTGCATTAGATATTTTTCAATTGGTAAAAAAATGAATTTTGAATAGCTTTCCCAGAAATGTTACCCAACTTTTTCCCAAACGTCCGTAGGAAATTCCGAAGATATTTTCAACCAAAGGATGAATTGGTAATTTCGGAAAACTTAGGAGCAGCGAAATATTCATCACTATTTTTGAGTTAAGGATAAGAGACTTTCTCAAAAAATCTTGGATAATTATGAATTTTTCACAACTTTACATTACTCCGTATCCAGCAACATTTTTACATAAATCAAGAAGTCAAGCTAGAAGAAACATGGTTCAGTGAGACACTTGCATCATCTTAAACGAACCAAAAAAGATGATGTTATACTTATCTCTTTTCAAGTTTCACGAAAGAATACGGTCTTATTGATAATACAGTACTTGAATTCTCACCAGGAGGAGGAGCGCCGCGATTGAAGTTGTCAAAGCCACGGTTGGCGAGTTCTTGTTGTCTGGAAAGGATCATCTGTTGCTCCAACTGATCCATCATTTGTTGACGCTGGATTTCCAAAGTTGCGCCTGAAAAAATCATGAATAATTGCACACCAATGAGTCGATTTCTTTTTGGCATTCTCTGTGTCAATTTTCTGCATCATGCTTCTTGTGATTTTCAGCATGTCATAAAAGTAATTCTTCTGACAATAACATTTGACCATTCACTGACAATTCAACCTCTATAATGTAGGTTTTAAAATTATACAGTAAAATTTTGTTACAAACTTGTGGGGACTTCAGAAAAAGTTGGTTATAACAAGATTATCAACATTATTGACTGATCAGAATGTTTTTAAAATCAAGCCTGCATATATTCAACATCATCCTTTTTTGGCCTTTTTTGATGTTCTTCAGGGTTTGAAAATTGTGATTTTCAAAGAACTTAAAATTCTAATAAACATTTACTCTGAACTACAGGTAAATCCTAGCACTTTTTCTGGACTTTGGGTTTTTCTAAGCAATTCCTGCACAGATTGTACTGGAATTGGAGAGTTTGTTGTAACAAGATTTTTATGACATGTGTCTTACAGGATTTCTGCCAGGACTTTGAAAACATTTTGTAAAACTAAGACATTTGTTGGAACTGTATTTGCTGTAATGAGATTTTACTGTATTTGAATACAATGGGCGACAGAGAATTCCATTGAAAAAAAAAACATTTCAGAGAATTTGTCATTTAAATCATTGAATGAAGCCTCCAATGCCAAACACAGTTGATCTTGAGAAAAAATGTTGCTTTTGATGATAGCATTCAGAACAAGTACTGTATAGTCAAATTACTTCAACAAAAAACCTAATTGAATCATGAAAACTAGAATTATTACCAGAACCTAAAAAATTCAAGGTCCACAAAAACTTCAAGCAATCATGTTTCCCTGAAAATAAAGGTAAACTCTCTCTCTATATAGCAATGTTGTCTACAACAATTTTCTTTGTACAATGATGTTTTTTTGTTGTTGGTCCCACAGGTTTCTATCCCCATGTTATAGGGGTTCTCTCTACACGAATTTTTGTCTGGTCCAATAGAGAGAGAGAGAGTACACCTGCATCACAAGTTTTCCATGGAATTGTAATTTTTTCTTCAAAAACTAATTAGCATATATCATCGATGTAAGCCTCAACTTCAGAAGAGAAAGGCTAATGTTTACAATTGAACATTCTGACAACAACAATAAAATGGTAAGCCCTTTTTTGCACACACTTTGAAAGCTGTAGGAAGTGCCATATTTCCATGACTCTCCGAAGAGAATGAGTCATATTTGTTGCGGAATAATTTAATTTTCAGTCTTTGGCAGATAAGAATCCCCCTGATCCATAAATTTTGGTTTGCAATCTCTCAATTGATACAAATACCGTCAAAACTCTCCAACAAATTCCAAGGAACCTGTAACAAATTTAAATTTGAGGAGTTTCCATTCAGGGAAAGAATGCCTTTTTCCTTGGGGAACAAGAGAAGAATAAGGGACAATTTTATTTGACTATATTTGGTGACTTTAAATTGCTTCTTGAATGAGTTGACAGGATGCTGACCTTGGAGGCAAGGGTTCATTTGCCCATTCAATCTTTCACTTCCTCTCAAAACACATCAAGCTACATTCCTATTGCTTTTCTCTCTCCTGTGCCCATAAAATAACATTGGAACGGCGTCCAGAATTCCAGTTATGGAGGTTAGATGGGAAAGCTTTCAGGTTTGGGAGCTTTAAAAGGGAATTAAGACAGGGACTTGAACACAATTCCACATCATA